AGTAGAAGTAGAAGTAGTTAGTAGTAGTTAATAGTAGTAGTAGTAGTAGTAGCAGTAGTAGTGGTAGCGGTAGTGGTAGTAGTAGTAGTAGTAGTAGTAGTAGCAGTAGTAGTAGTAGTAGTAGTAGTAGTAGTAGTCGTAGTCGTAGTCGTAGTCGTAGTCGTAGTCGTAGTCGTAGTCGTATTCGTAGTCGTAGTCGTAGTCGTAGTCGTAGTCGTAGTCGTAGTCGTAGTCGTAGTCGTAGTCGTAGTCGTAGTCGTAGTCGTAGTCGTAGTCGTAGTCGTAGTCGTAGTCGTAGTCGTAGTCGTAGTAGTAGTAGTAGTAGTAGTAGTAGTAGTAGTAGTAGTCGTAGAGTAGTCGTAGTAGTAGTAGTAGTAGTAGTAGTCTCCACCTGGAATTTTTTAGTAGTAGTAATTAGTGTAGTAGTAGTAGTAGTAGTAGTAGTAGAGAGTGTAGAGTAGTAGTCGTGGTAGTCAAAAGGGCAACCAGTGAGTTAGTAGTAGTAGTGGTAGTAGTAGTAGTAGTAGTAGTAGTAGTAGTGGTAGTGGTAGTAGTAGTAGTAGTAGTAGCAGTAGTAGTAGTAGTCGTAGGAGTAGTAGTAGTAGTAGTAGTAGTAGGAGTAGTAGGAGTAGTAGGAGTAGTAGTAGTAGTAGTAGTAGTAGTAGGGCCACAATTTTGATGCCCAGATCCAACTGTAGGCCACTTCGTGTTCGTCGATGTCCCAGAACTCCATTCCCGTGCCACCTAGTTCCCAGAACTCCATTCCCGGGATACATTTTGAATGCCTGGAGCCAACTGTAGGAAACTTGGTGTTCATCGAGTTCCCAGACTCGTTGATAGTAGTGCTTCCTTTGATAGTAGTGCTTCCTTTGCACACACGTTTACTATTGATCGCAGCGTTTCGCTTCCAGTCAAATCCGAACATGAAAAAAAGAATACGTCCATATATGCTCATACACATGGCTGTTAGGTTGCTTTGCTGGGATAAAGCGTTCTGCGACAACCGCTCCCCCGAAGCCCCCAATAGGGGCTCCTGCCGCGCAGGTGGAGCGCGGCAGGAATCAGCGACGCACAGATGGGGGCAATCAGGGGGAGGGGGGAAGGCTTCTGAGCAGCACCCTTGCTTCTCAGCGGGCGCGGGCTTTGTTTGCAGGTGGTAGTGAGGCTGGCGCCCTCTAAGGCGCAGCCTCCTCCCAAGAAGCCTTCCGCCCCTCCCTGTGCCCCGTGACCCCCTGTCTGGGCCGCTCAGGTGGAGCGCGGCAGGAAGAACATGCTCTCCGAGGCCTCCGCCGCCGCGCCTCGCCGAGCCTCGCGTCTCGGTCCTCGGCGTCGTCGTCGTCGTCGGCGTCGTTGTCGTCGTTGTCGTCGTCGTCGTCGTCGTCGTCGTCGTCCTTTTTCGTTCTTAGGCAAGCTGCAGGGCTTCGCGGGCCCGAAGCGTCAGGCAGCCTGGGCCCAGACGGGCCCAGGCAGCAAAGTGTCGGGCCCCCCTCGACTTCTGCGGCGCGGGAGGTCCGAAGAGGCGGCGTGCAGGGCACACCGTCGGCCCAGACTGGTAGGTCGACCCGGCCGAATCAGGGGCTCCCTTGACGTCCTGCGCCTCGCGATCCATGCTTCCTATGACTATTCCTGTGGCAACGTGGCCCTCGGAAGGGTCTCGTGTCCTCTCGCGTGTCCTGTCCAATCGAGTCCGACTGTACCAGAGTGTCTCCTCATCCTCCTCGCCGGCCTCGGCGTCGCCGCCGCCGCCGTCGGTCTCCGGCCGCGCGGCCCCGCGCCCGCCTGCATGGCTCTCGGAAGGCACGGGATGCCTCGGGGCGGTTGCCCCGTCGCCGTCGACGTCGTCGCCGCCCTTGTGAAAGAGGCCAGGGGGACCACTCTTCGTCGTCGTTGTCCTGCTCCTGGTCGTCGTCCTCGTCGTCGTCGTCGTCGTCGTCGTCCTGCTCCTCGTCGTCGTCGTCCTGCTCGTCGTCGTCGTCGTCGCCGTTCTGCTCCTCGTCGTCGTCGTCGTGTTCCTCGTCGTCGTCGCCGTCGCCGTCGCCGTCGTCGTCGTCGTCCTGCTCCTTGTCGTCCTCGTCCACGTCGTCGTCGTCGTCGTCGCCGTCGTCGCCGCCGTCGTCGTCGTCGTCGTCGTCGTCGTCGTCGTCGTCGTCGTCGTCGTCCGGCTCCTCCTCTCGGAGGAGGGCCCGTCGATGCCACGGTGGCTGGCCTTCGGGGGGGCTCCCCCTGCCGGCGTCGGCGCGCCGCCCGGGAGGCTTCCTCGTGCGGCTGGACCCCCGGGGGCTGCCGTGGCGCCGTGGCACAGTTGGGCCGACGACCATCGGATTTTCGCTCTCGCACGCAGGCTTCCGCCTCTTGCGCCCGAGCCCTTCACCCCGCAGGGTCGGCGGAACCGGCCGTGAGGCCTCTGCGACGATCCGTGATGGGAGGACGAAGCTGGACCGATGCGGGCCCCCACGCTGTCTGAGACGCGAAGGGGAGAAGAAGGAAGGAACACTCCACAAGGTGTTCTGAGTACTGTGGGGCAGTGGCAAGAACAAGAACGAAGAAGAAAAACGGCATACATTGGAGATCCACGCCAAGAGACACCCTGGTTGCCTCCAGCGTGCCCTGGGTTTCCTGGGTTTCGATGGTTTTGCGATGGAAAGAGTGACGCTCCCACGCCAAGAAGCAATGGACGCCCTTGGGCCTCAGGGTTGGGTTTCTTGTTGAAGGTTTCTTGTGGACTGGCCTCCACTGAAAACTGAAGAAAGAAGAACAGTGGTAAGAGGCTGTTTTTTTAGGGTCCGGCGATAGCCCGGATTATCGGGCTTGCCCCCCTCCCTCCCCCCCCAGGATAACCAAACCTTGCCGGTGGTGCAGGTCCAGGGGTGGGGGGGGCGCGGGCATATGCAGGGCTGCCCACAGGGCGAAGGTTAGGTTACGGCCCCCTCCTCCTCCCCCCCCGGGATAACCCAGGTTATCGCCGATTCCAAAAACACGGTCTCTAAGACATCGAAGAAGAACAGGAACGCCACAAACATAAACATGTTGGCTCTCCGCGCAGATTCCTTGGACAGGGGCCGGGGCCCCCGGGCGCCGCCTCGGGCGCCGCCCCTGGCGCGCTCCGCGCGCCAGGGAGGGCGGTCCAGGGCGGATCCAAGCAATCCGCGCGGAGCGCCGAAAGTTTGTGTTCATGCCGTTTTTTCTTCTAAGTAGACACAACGGACCGTTTGTTCATAGTGACTCAGGAGGAGACACCGGTCCTCGAGACAGGGTCGGGACGTCCGGGGGACCCGTATGAAAAAAATCAGGACGTCGCGATGTCCGGTAACCTGCCCTGCGCCCAGGGGTGGGCGGGGGTGGAAGATGCAGCCGGCCTGGGCAGCAGATGGCGGAGGCGTCGTGTGGGGCCACGCGGCGTCTCCAAGGCGTCGCCCCTGTGTGTTGCCCGCGTCCTTCCTTTTCGAAGGCCTCCTCCTGCTGCTGCTCATCCTGGTCCTCCTCAGAGGCTTGGCCCGGATGATTGCCTCGTCGTCAAGGCCCTCGTCGTTTTCGTCGTCGTCGTTGTAGTCGTGATGGTCGTCCTTCTCATTCTTCTTTTCCAGAGGGTCCTGGGGAGCCCATGGTATAGCCTCCTCCTCGGGGCTTCTCAGGACTTCCTGCGCTCCTCCATCTGCTTCCTGGGGTCTTCCAGGGGCTTCAGGATGGGGAGGAGGATGCAGAGGAGGCGGAGGAGGATGAGGAGGAGGGAGAATAAGGATAAGGATACTTCGGAGCAGGAGGGAGGAACCTCCATGTCGCGCAGAAGGGTTGGCTTCTTGAATCCGTGCGCAGTTGATTGTGCCACGCGCCGTGTGCGTACGCACGTGAGCACGCGCTCGCCCCATGGCGAAGCAGAGGCTGAGCACGTGCAAGGCTGAGCGTCTGCTTCGCGCGGGCACGCGCACGCGACGCGCAGCATGCGCACCGTGCGGGCGGGGGCGGGGAAGCCCAGGCCCATGGCGGCGGCGGTGCCCTCTGGGGACCGCCGCGGCGCGGCGCGGCGCCGCCCCCCTGCGCCTTCGGGAGGCCCTCGCCAGCATCCTGCTGGGCACGGAGGACCTCCGGAGGGGCGTGCGCCAGATGAAGGACGCCGCCCGGCCGCCCGCGCCCCGGGAGGGTCGATCGATGGGCGGGGCGAGGGCCCGGCGCGAGCGTGGCCCCGCTGCCGCCAGGCTGCTTGCAGGGTGTGGGGTGTTCGCTCCCAGGGGCCTCGCAGAGCCACTCGTGCCACTCCTGCTCTGCGGCGAGCCGCGGTCCTGGCCCCTGCCTGGCCCCTGCGGGTCGAATCGGCGCCGAGGTGCGGGGCCGCCCGTTGCGTTCGTGAGGCGATGAGGTGACTACCTCATCGAGCTGTAGCCTGAGCAAACAGCAGCAGTGCGAATGCGCAAGCACGACACACACAGACACACACAGACGCACACACACACACACGCACACGCACACGAACACACAAACACACTCATAGACACATATACACACGCACACGCTCACGCCAACGCACACGCGCACGCACGCGCACTCACTCACTCACACACACACACACTCGCACACGCACGCACGCTTTTTTCGGCGCCGCGGACCCACGCGCGCAGAAACAGGGCGTGGCAAGGTCGGAGAAGCAGGCCCCTCCGCGCGCCCAAAGGCCGAGCCCTCAAGCCGCTTGAAACAAGCAGCGCCGGCAGCCCTCCACACACGCGCAGCCGGCCACACGCACACACACACACACACACACACACACACACACACACACACACACACACGCACACCCACACACACTCACACACGCACACACGCACATCAAGCAACCCTCACAAACATACAAAGTACACGCGTGCATTCGGCTCAACTTACTTTCGCTAGTACCTACATGCACGGAAGGATGGGAGCCACGCCGCAGCAATCAGCTTGCAATGGCGTCACGAACACGGCCCGGGGTCTTAGCAAGGATCACCCGTTGGGGCCGGATTGCAGCCAGACAGAGCGAATGCGCAAGAATGCTTAAAAAGATACCGAAATAACACAATTATACAAAGTATGCAGCGGAGGAGGAAGGAGAGGAAAGAGCAAGCAGCGCAACGCATGACGCATGGGCGGGAGATGGACACGGAGACTTCTTCCGCACGGTGATCACTGCGGCGTGCCCACTCATCTTGAGCACGTGGCTGGCCCCCAAAAACCTACGCCCGAGGCTTCCAGGAGCTGGGAGCGTCAGACGCGGCGAGGGGGGGGGGGTCCCGGCGCATGTTTTTTTTGCAGGGCGGGCAAAGACCGGCGCCGGAGGCTTCCAGGGCCTGGGGCTGCCAGACGTGGTGGGGGGCCGGGAGCGGAGGCCGCCCCCCCTCGAGGGCCGAGGTGGTTGGGACAGGGGGGGCTCCCCAGCGAGACTCGCGGGTGGTGGTGGGTTTTTCTCTCCTCTCCCCCCTTTCCCTGCTCCCGCGCGCACTGTGCGTCGATTCGCGGGATTCGCGGGATTCGCGGGTGGTGGTTGGCTTTTTTCTCCTCTCCCCCCTCTTCCCTGCTCCCGCGCGCACTGTGCGTCGCAGAGCGTCTCGCCGCCCTGTTTCGCCGTGCCTTTTTTCTCTCGCAAGACGTCTTGCCGCCTTGCCTGCCGAAGACGTCCCTCGCCGCCCTCTGTTCGTGGATCCCCGGCGGCTCCAGACCCCCGGAGAGCCTCCTGCGTTCGAGTAGAGGATCGACTGCAGATTCGAGTTACCCCAGAAACTCATTATCTCCTCGACCACGTGCAACAATACGGAGCATGCGACGTAGATCTACGAACATACACTACGCGTTGGGGATAGATCGATTCTGTAGTCGATCCCCCACTCGAAGCATGGGAACGCAGTGCCCTCGAACTGGACCAGACCAGGACATCCGACGATTTGACGATGCGAATGTTCCCATGCACGGCCCCAGAGGCCGTCCTCATGATGGGACGGATCGCAGTCGGAGCATCGGTCGTCGCCAGCGTCGCACTTTTCATCGTCAGCATTCTAGAGGTCGCCCTCTCGCCTGAAGATCTGCCCACGGGCATCTCTCCGTCAAAGCATCGGTCGTCGCCATTTCCGCAGTCGTCACCACCCGCAGTCCCAAGATCGCCTTCGCGCCAGAAGAGCTGCCCATCTCTCTCTCTCTCTCTCTCCCTCTCTTTATCATTTCTGTCTACGTGGCCTCACGGCGAAGGAACCGCACTGCGAACAAACGCAAGCCCTCAACCGCGCAGATCTCGCAGCGAAGGAGCAGCACCGCAACACAGCTGGGCCCTCTCCTCCTTACTTCCTCCTCCTCCTCCTCCTCACTTCCTCCTCACTTCCTCCTCCTCCTCCTCACTTCTTCCTCCTCCCCCTCCTCCTCCTCCTCCTCCTCCTGACACGTCGATTGGTGAATTGGCCGTTTTCGGTTCGCGAGGGGCGTCGCGGCCGTCACTTTTGCGGGTCCAGGTCCGTCGGTTTCGGCCCCAGGTCGTTTTCACGAAGGGCAGGTCTGCTAAAGGGAGGTTTGCCCACCGCCGAAAATTGATCTCCCGTCGAATCTACGAAGCATACCTGCAATGCTGCGAAGGGCTACTGACTACTGGCGGGTTCGACGAGAGAAGCAGTGTTGGGGTGCATGAGTTCTGTAGTCGATCCCCTACTCGGATAGAGCTGGAGTTGATGGGGGCGGAGGATCATCGCGCCGCACCTCGAAGAACCAACAACGGCACAGACGTTATGTGTTGGCGGTCCGCGCGGATTTCTTGGACCCGCGCGGACCAGCACTCGTTTATGTGTATTCCGTGTTGATTTGTTTGTTTGTTGTTTCATCTATTACCGACCGAGCGCGTTCCAATATTCGCAAAGTGCCTACACGCAGATGTCCGGAAAACATATGTTCGTTTAATTAAATGTACCGTAGCCCCCCGCGGCGGATTCAGGCCATTTGCGAGTAGTTCCTGTGCGAGTCGTGGAACGCGCTCGTCCACTCTGGTATCGCCGACGCATCGGCGATGCTGCGCGATCCAGAGCACGATTTGTCGCCACCTCGGCGCAGCGGATGCGTCGCCGATGCACCAGCAACGCTGCACGGTCCTCCGACGCCATCTGAGCCGGCATCTCTCGGGCGGGCCCGAGGCCGCCCCCTTTCGGGGCCGACCAAGACCAAGAGGGGGGTGACGACCTCGGACGACGTCGGACGGGCCCAGAATCGAGATCGACCCCGTTCCAGAGCGCTCGAGAGCGCTCTCGGAGCGCCTCGGGCGCTCTGAGACGGCCGCGGCGCCAGGCGCATCGTCCAAGCCCGCCGACTCTCAGCGATTCCCGATTTCTGCCAGTCCGATTTTGTCTGCATTCTGCCTTCGTCTCATGACCAGGGGTTTATTTAGGGAGGAGGAAGAGGAGGAGGAGGAGGCGGAGGAGGAGGCGGAGGAGGCGGAGGGGAGGAGGATGAGGAGGAGGAGGAAGAGGAGGAGGAGGAGGAGGAAGAGGAGGAGCAGGAGAAGGAGGAGGAGGAGGCGGAGGAGGAGGAAGAGGAGGAGGACGAGGAGGAGGAGGAGCAGGAGGAGGAGGAGGAGGAGGAGGAGGAGCACGAGGAGGAGGATGAGGAGGAGGAGGAGGAGCACGAGGAGGAGGAGGAGGAGGAGGAGGAGGAGGAGGAGCACGAGGAGGAGGAGGAGGAGGAGGGGACGCCGCGCGTCTTCCACCGCGTCCCCTGGGCCCCCCCCCCGCGCGGGCCCGCGCGCGGGCCTCGGGCCAGGAGCTGGCACGGCCGGACCGAGGCCCGCTATACACAGGGCCGAGGGCGCTTCGGGGAGGGCAATGCCCCAGCGCTCCGCGTGCCTGCTGGCTGTCCTCGCGCACCCCTCGGAGAAGGGCAGGAGCACGTGACCAGAAACTCTTGGCGCTCCGCGCGGATCTCTTGGGATCCGGGCCCCGGGCCCTCCGGCGCCGCCTCCGGCGCCGCCCCTGGCGCGCTCCGTGCGCCAGGGAGGAGGAGGAGGAGGAGGAGGAGGAGGAGCAGGAGGGGTAGAAGGAAGAGGAGAAGGAGGAGGTGAAGGAGGAGGAGGAAGAGGAGGAGGAGGAGGAGAAGGAGGAGGAGGAGGAGGAGAAGGAGGAGGAGGACAGGGAGTGCGGTCCAGAGCCACAATGCAAGAGATCCGAGCGGAGCGCCAAGAGCTTATGTTTATGCGCTTGTTCCTTCTTCTATCAGGAGGGGAAAAGCACAGACACAATTCATCGGCTTTTCCCAGGAAGATATGGGAAAATATGGGAAGTGGGGGGGAAGACAAAAACCCAGAAAATATTGGAAAATATGGGGGATACTTGTTATTTGTGTGTATTTATTTGTGTGTCCCAGTTCCCCTTCATTCTAATCCTGGGGGAAGGCACCCTCGAATGTTCCTCAGTCTGGCCGGCGGAGGGTCTCATATTCTCGAGGGGTGCGAGAAGTGAAAGGCTTCCTTCGAGGGTGGCAGGGTTTCTCGGATGCCCTCGCGCCCTCCGGAAAGGTCTCCGCGTCTTCGTGGAAGGCATCGAACATTTCTCAGCAGGCCAAGGGACTTGCGGGCCTTCTGAGCATCGGCTAGACGTAAGAGTAGCTTTTCGCCGGAGTGGGCCTGCGGGCCCAATGGGGTCCATCAATCGCTGATCACGAAGCGTTAGCAGCAGCTTGCGCGCCCGGGTTTGCCCACCCCGCGTCCCCCGCCAGGTCGCGCACCAAAGGCCATTCTTGCCCAGGGTCACTCTTACGCGTAGTGTTATGATGTTCCAACCTGTTTTTAGCCTTGCTCACCAGAAAGAATTTCGAGCTCCAGAAACAAGTACCGAAACTCTAGTGTTTTCTCGTGTCGGGCACTGGGAGACACTCTCCCGACACTGTTTCGACACTCCTTCGACACTTTTCTGGGTTCTCGAAATTATTTCTGGAATGTGGTCCTTAAGTACGATGGGAGCAACATAAGTGTAGTGTACCGGGCTCGCTGCCGAGTCCTAGCTCCAGCCTTGCAGTGGAAACCCATGCCACGAAATTCCTTGCGTGCCTCCAGGGTGCCCTGGGTTTCTTGGGCTTCGATGGTTTCGCCGTGGCGAGCGTGGCGTTACCACACCGCAGGTCAGTGGACGTCCTGGGGTCTCAAAGCTGAGTTTGTCGTGGTTACTGCTCGTCGCACGCACCGACCGCCTTCATCATCAAACAACCAAGACCCAGCGAGGACTGGGTATTAATTATCCCGGCAAAGCAACCTAACAGCGATGTGTAGGAGCATATCTGGAAGCATTCCCCTTCAGATTCAGATGAGAATCCAGTTGTAGAATTCTGCTGTTCTCGCAGTCGTAGTCGCATTCGCGATGACAGTCGCAGTGGCAACGGCAGTCGCAGTCACAGCCTCAGCCTCAGCCTGCCTCAGCCTCAGCCTCAGCCTGCCTCAGCCTCAGCCTGCCTCAGCCTCAGCCTCAGCCTGCTTCAGCCTCAGCCTCAGTCTGCCTTCAGCCTCGGCCTCAGCCTCAGCCTGCCTCAGCCTCAGCCTGCATCAGCCTCAGCCTCAGCCTCAGCCTGCCTCAGCATCAGCCTGCCTCAGCCTCAGCCTCAGCCTGCCTCAGCCTCAGCCTCAGTCTGCTTCAGCCTCAGCCTCAGTCTGCCTTCAGCCTCGGCCTCAGCCTCAGCCTGCCTCAGCCTCAGCCTGCCTCGGCCGCAGCATCAGCCTGCCTCAGCATTCAAAATGTGGCCCAGGAATGGAGTTCTGGGAACTAGAAGAACACGAAGTGGCCTACAGTTGGCTCCGGGCATTCAAAATCATGCCCAGGAATGGAGTTCTGGGAACTTGAAGAGCACGAAGTGGCCTACAGTTGGCTCCGGGCATTCAAAATGTGGCCCGGGAATGGAGTTCTGGGAACTCGAAGAGCACGAAGTGGCCTACAGTTGGCTCCGGGCATCCAAAATGTGGCCCGGGAATGGAGTTCTGGGAAGTCGAAGACCACGAAGTGGCCTACAGTTGGCTCCGGGCATCCAAAATGTACGCCGGGAATGGAGTTCTGGGAAGTCGAAGAGCACGAAGTGGCCTACAGTTGGCTCCGGGCATCCAAAATGTACGCTGGGAATTGAGTTCTAGCAGCGCCAAGAGCGATTTTGCGAGGATGTCCCAAGCGATTTGGGCTTCGACGGCAGCCGCGCCAGGTCCCGCCCCGGGTCCCGCCCCGACCCTCCTGAGGAGTCATGATGCTCTCTGTTGACCCCACTAGAAACCTATCAGTCTTCGCTGTTAGGTAAAAAGGTAGAGTTTCTAGTGGATGGTTTCTTGTTGTCGGGCTCCCACTGCCTCCCCTCGTGGACGCTCCCCCCCCCTCGCCTGCCCACCGTGCCCGCGCGTCCTGCTCTGCATCCCCCTCCCTGCAGGCCCCCGATGGTCGCTCTCCCCTCTCGCCGCTGCGGCGCACGTCATCATCATCATCATCATCATCATCATCATCATCATCATCATCATCATCATCATCATCATCATCATCATCATCATCATCATCATCATCATCATCATCATCATCATCATCATCATCAGCATCAGCATCATCATCATCATCATCAGCATCATCAGCATCATCAGCAGCATCAGCATCATCAGCATCATCATCATCGTCATCATCATCATAATCATAATCATGATCAGCAGGATCCTTGCTCGCACCCCTCAGCATCATCACCCGACGGTGAGGATGAGGGTGATGATGAGGATGAGGGTGAGGATGATCATCTCACCACCCCACGGCGATCCTCACTCGCCTTTCTCGTCCTCGTCACCTTCATTATCACCTTCGTCCTCACCCGCATTCCCACCCTCGTCATCTTGCCAGAGAGGCCCAGGCCGCGGCGCCAGCGCACCGCGATGGCAGGTGATTTGTCTCCCCCAGCCCTGACATGTTCCAGCCTACTTCAGCCCTGATCGCGAGAAACAACGTCGTGCAACAAGAGAACATCGAAACTAAAGGGTTTTCACGTGTCGGGCCCTGGGAGGCGATACTCTTTCGACACTTCGCCAGCGTGTCGGTCGGCAGACACTGTTTCGATTCGTTCTGGGTGCTCGAAATCAGTTTTGGAATGTGGTCCTTCAATACGCTGTGACCAACGTAACCCCACACCCTTACTTTACCCGACGAAAAATGGAGCCGCTCAGAAAAGAAGGAAACCTCAGGATACACATCAAGAGGGCTATGGGGACGAACCCCCATATCGAGGATGGAGGTCCCCCCATCATATACCCCAGGGTTGGGCCCCAAAGTTTTTGGTCCATTCGAGAAGCCCATGAAGCTTGGATATCTCCTGTTACGCGACACGCCGAGGAGTGGCGCCAGGGCGCATCCTACTTCGAGGGGCTCGACCGGCAAGACGGCTTCGAGGACGTGTCCCGCTCCGCGTGTTCGGCAGCCGACGGCGGCGGCAGCGACGGCAAGGGTGGCGGTGACTGCGGCGGCGGCGGTGGCCAGAGGAGGAAGAGGTGCCGACGCCGGCGTTCGACCTGGAGAGCCCTCGTCGCCGCGGCTGGATTCTCGAGATTCTGGCCAGGATTCGCTTGGAGAGGTCCGAGGAGCAGCGGCATCGGTGACTCCCGTGCCCCCGGAGGGCGGTGGCGGTGGCAGCGGCGCCTCCTTGCCTTCCCCCCTCCCCCCTCGCCCTGCGCAGGACAAGTCGGGAGAGCAGTCGAGTCGAGAGGTCTCCGCGGAGAAGCCGGGGCCCAGGACGATCTCGGAGCACGAGGCCCCTGCCGCCCCGCCCTGCCCTCCACCCTCGGCGCGCGCGGGCCGCTGCGGGCGGGAGGGTCTGCGCGTGCGGGGCCTCCCGAGGCTTGCCCCCCGCAGGTGGCAGGGCGGGGTTCCGCGCGGGGTTCTTCCGCGGGCTCGGTGGTTGCCCGTTGGGCCTGTCTCGGAGGAGCGCGCTTTGAGACAGGCCCTCGTCGCCACGGCTGGGCGCCGCTTGGACAACCAGCGTGCTCGGACCCTGGGAAGGCGTCTGGGGTTTCTGGGGTTCGATGTTGAGCCGCCCTGGAGCCTGTGCGGGAAGTGCCTCCCAAGACCAGGCGGTCGCCCGCAGGATATCCACAGGCCGCGTTTCGGGTCCTCTCCTCCCCCGTTCGAAGGGCCCCTCTTCACTGGACCCCCCGTCTCCCTCGACGCTTGAGGTTCGAGGATCGAGGCCCTTGGGTTGTTTCTTTGCGGAGAAACGTATAAGAGCATGTTTGGTCAATCTCGGGCCTCCAGTTCCTGAGATGTCCTCCTCATTATCCTACGCTCCCCTTCCTCCTCCTCCTCCTCCTCCTCCTCCTCCTCCTCCTCCTCCTCCTCCTCCTCCAAGGCCGCTGGATCGAGGCTAGGACAAACCGACCGTACCGCCTGCACACCTGTACACCAGAGTTTCGCGCCCCCCACCAGCAGACCCTATAAGAGACAAAGGGGCATGGGGGACCCCCATGGTCCTCGTTTTCTTTCTTTGCATCACCCTTCGGATGTGATGCTACAATTCAGTGGAAGCCAGCAGCTTGGAACGACTAGAAGACATCAGCTGCGAGTTGCGAAATTGGGACGTCCTACTACCCAGTGGCACGCACAGGTGGGCAGGACCAGAACCTTCCCAGAAAAACAGGCTGCCCTACCAAGACGTTTTGTACTTCGGGGGAAAAAAAGCAACAGTGGACCAACAACATAAGGAATTATGAGTAGTGAGGAGCGAGTCGTGTGTAGTGACTAGTGCATAGTGATTAGTAAGCAGGGAGTAGGGATGAGGGAGTAGACAGTAGCGAATAGCGAGGAGTGAGCAGTGAGTAGGGAGGAGCGAATAGTGCGGAGTGAGTAGAGCGTTGTGGGTAGTGAGTGGTGAGTAGGGCGTAGCGAGTCGCGAGTAGGGGGTGGCGAGTAGAGGGTAGCGAGTAGTGAGTATTGAATAGGGCGTTGTGATTAGTGAGTAGCGAGAAGGGAGTAGTCAGGGGTCAGTAGTGAGTAGTGAGTAGGGCGTAGTGCGTAGCGAATAGGGAGTACGTGGCGACTAGTGAGTAGTGAATACGGAGTAGTTCGTAGTGAGTAGGGGTAGTGAGTAGTGAGTAGTGAAAAGCGAGAAGTGGGTATTGAGTTGTGGGTAGTGAGTAGGAAATGGCGAGTAGAAATTAGTGAGTAGTGAGTCAAGAGTAGTGAGTAGTGAGTAGCGAATTGTGACTAGTGACTAGTGGAGTGGTGAGCAGTGAGGAGCGAGTAGTGCGCAGTGGGTACTGAATCTTTCGTATTGGGTAGCGAGTGCCTGATAGTGAGTAGTGACATGTGGGCGGTGCGTAGTGAGTAGTGAATTGAGTACTCAGTGGTAAGTAGTGGATAGTGCGTAGTCATTAGTGCTTAGTGAGTAGTCAGTAGTGGGCAATGAGTAGTGTTTAGTGAGTAGTGGGTATTGGGTACTGGGTAGTGAGTACTAAGTTGGGGGTAGCGGGTAGGGAGTAGGAAAGTGTGAGTAGTGAGTAGTTGGAGCGTATTGAGTAGTGAGTAGTGGGTAGTGAACAGTGGGTGTTGGGTAGCGAGTAGGGCGTATGGAGTAGCGAGTAGTGAGTAGTGCGTACTGAGTACTGTGTAGGGAGTAGGGTGTAGCGAGTAGCGAGTAATGGATAATGAGTAGTGAGTTGTGGGCAGCGCGTAGTGAGTAGTGAAGAGTGAATAGTGAGTAGTGGATAGTGGTTAGTGGGTATTGAATAGTGACTTGTGATTCGTGAGTAGTGAGTGGCGAGTAGTGAATTGTGGGTAGTGAGTAGTGCGTAATGGGTAGTGAGTACTGTTAGGGGCTAGGGTTTGGGTTTGGGGTTCGGGCTTGGGGTTGGGGCAAGGGTGAGGATTAGTGTTAGGGGTGGCACGGGTCGGCTTCCCGAGACCGGGGGCGCCGCGGCGAACAGGGGGGAAGAGGGGGGTTGGTCGAATTTGTCTGCCAAAATGGGAGGGGGGGGGGTTGGACCCCCCCGAGCCTTTTTGAAAGGGGGGACGGGGGGGGTCCCCGACGACGGACCGGGAAAGGAGGGGAGGAGGGGGATCCCCGACGACGGATCGGGAAAGGGGGGGAGGGGGGAGGTCCTCGACGACGGATCGGAGAAAGGGGGGGAGGGGGGGGGGGTCCCCCCCCTGCTTTGGGGACATCCAGCGGCGCGCCCTCGGACACCCCCCCTGACATCCCCCCCTGTGACGTTGCGCGGGAAGGTGGCAGGCGTGCAACTAGCTAACAAACAGTTCGGCTGCGCCTTACTCGCATGCTTTTGCGCACCCACACATGTGAAATAAACCCCCGCAAAGGCAAAAAGGTAGAAGGTCGCGGTTGGAGGTGAAGTTCAACAGACTGGGATGTCGCACGACAATTGTGACGAGGGGCGACATAAACAGCGACTGTAGATGTCAGAGGGGACTTGACGGGTGGGCAGCGCGCAGCCAGGGGCCGACCGCAGGCCCAAAGTAGCCCAAACTGGAAACCAGACTGGACAGAGTTTCCGAGGTCTGTGCGCGGGCAGTGACCCAAGTATAGTCACTACTCACCATTGCATAGGCCCACCCTTCGACGGACACTCGGGCCACACCAGCAGGGTGGACTGCAAGGCGATCCCAACAAGTCTATTAGCGCAAGTAGCGTGTTGTAACGCGCTCAACACTGCGGGCAAACGACTTCACCTATTTCAGATCAGAGGCACAGAGACCACGTGCCAGTAGGACTCGCTTTCCACCACCACCATCCTTGCTCCTCAGCCGCGCCCGCGACCCGACGACAACAGCGGCCGCGCTGGAACGGGGCCATGGACTGCGCCAGGCGTGGATGCGCGAAGGGGGGCTTGTTCGAGGCCATCGATGCGGAGACGAGAGCCGTGGCGGAGGAGGCCTGGGAAGGGGGCGGTGGCAGAAAACGCGCCCGACCGTGCGCGGGGCCGATTCGGAGATGCTGTGCGAAACACGATGGGCACCGAATTCCAAAGAACCGACGGACGATGAAGCAGACGAAATAGTCAACTTTGCGCCCGCGTACCGACTCGACCCACTGCGCAGACGACTGACAATTAGAGAACGGGTCGGCGACGAACGTGGCGACAGAATACGACGCCACACAGAATAAACTAAACTGCGCCGCAGGTGCTCGACAAGAGGCGCGACAGACAGCCGAGACGGAAAGGCGCGCAAAGATGGCCGAACTCATCTGGCAGGCGCGCGAGTGCAGGGACTTTGCCGAGATGCATCGCCTCCGGATGCAGTGGCAGCGCAGTGGGCGGGGCCTCCAAAAGGGGATCACCTTGCGCCACAGACATGCTGGCTGCGTGAGATGTGCGAGCAGGGGCTAGCGCGACAAGCTTTGGAGGAAGGACTAGGTGTATGGAAGATTGACCAATGGCAGAGGCGCGAAAGGCACGTCAACCACGTGGAGAGCACTATAGTCCCCCCTCCCCAACGGTCACGACCGACTGGCGACTCTTGCGCAGGACAACGCAGCGATGGTGTCGCCGAAAGAGAGCGCAGGCGCAGAGCGCGGCCAGACAGGGGAATGTCCGCGGAGGCGGCGCGGCTTTTACTTGGCCCCTCTCCGCTTAGGGGGCCCGACTGCTCTCAGCGAGCGCTTCGAGCGCAAGCGGATAGTGGCGGCAGGGGGGCGGGGGGGCGCGGGGGGCATGGCCCGGTAGACTTCGCTTGAGCGGTTTCGCAAGGGGGGGGGCGTCGCCGCAGAGGATGGGGTTGCGAAGCGGCGCGACTCAGGGGAGTGGGCAGCGAGCTTGCGACGTGGAGGGGCAGCCCAGAAGATGGGCAGAACGAACCCGCTGCGTCGGCTCGGGGGGGCGCGCGGGGTCGGGGGCGCTTGTCGTCGAGGGGTTGGGTTTTAACTTCCGGCCGATCCTCGAGTGGCCCCTCGCCCAGCGTCGCAGTCGCCAGGTCGCGCCGGTGGGCCAGCATCGCCCGAGCGCTTTCCCAGCGGAGAAAACCGGCGCAACGACGCAGAAGGCATATTGGGAAAACGCCCCTTGCACGAGTATGACTCATTCAGCATGGCCTGGGACTCGGACACGCGGCCACAGGAGAGCCCCGCCGCCGCCGCCCATGGGCCCAGGCGGGGGCGCGCGCGCGGCGCAGTGCGGGGGCCCCTCAGCACGGGCGCGGCCAGCTGCGACGGCACCAGCGCACGCGCTGCCGCCAGACCAGCCCTCCTGAAAGCGTCGGCGTCAGGCGCGCGAGCGAACGCGACCGGCGGTTCGCAATGGCGGCGATCGACGATTATTCATGCACCCTGGAAGCGCCCGACGGCACTGCAGAGGCAGAAAGCATGTGCGCGGCCCACATGGGCTTCGCACGTTGTCCACGGCAATTCAACGAGGCATGTAACCTGCATGTCAAACGGCGTTGGGAACTGGAGCGAACAGACCTCAACCAGCAACTGCACGACGCCATCAACCCGCCCACAGGCAACCACCACGTCATGGCCCTGAAAACATTTGCGGCCGACATTGCCCGCGCCCAGAATTCTTCCACTCGACGCGCGCGCGCCGGGGCATCGAGGCGCTGCTGAACGACGCCACCGAACGTCTCAAACAGATTGGCAAAAGGAGGGCGGATACTCAACAGCGGGCAAACCAACCACGTAGTCCACCTAGCAGGCACAGGCAACTACGAAGCCACAAGGGCATTGCGCAGAAACAAGACACTAAAAGGCACAGCGCGAAGAGAGATGCGCGCTCTGGACCCCCACCCCCCAGCAGGCCAAAGCACGTCGGACGGGGCTGCGAGGGTGATATCAGCGGTGCGCACTGCGTGGAGTCAGCGCGGCGCGTTCTGCCCCTCCGACACTCCCCGACAAATGCAGCATTTAATTTCCATGGCGCTTGCGATGGGGGTTGCGCTCAGCGGACTCACCGCCTTTGCGCTCGCGGCGTATCAGACGGGTGCCCTGGACAGCGCGTTAGCGAAGCACGCGCGAGCGATGTTTTTTTTTTTTTTTTTGGGGGGGGGGGGCGGCGCGCCCTGGGGAAGGGGGGGCGGGGCAGCCAGTTGCATCGCGAATGTGCCGGTATTTCGCCGCCGGAGGCTGGGAAGGACGGCCGCCGCGCTGCGCGTCAGACGCCCCAGACGGCGCCGGAGCTGGGCGCCGCGCGGGAGAGCGCGGAGCGGCCACTGCAACGGCATTCTGCGCATCCACCCTGGACGAGATGAGAGAAGTAAGCGGGCTCACGGACGGTCAGTGGGTTCACTCGGGCTCGGACTCGACAACTTGGGCCACGTAGCGCGGACCAACCACTCGGGAGCCTCTTAAGAAACCTCTGGCGCACCTCTAAGGGGCCTCTGAAGAGCCTCTAGGGAAACCTTTCACGGAAACCTCTAACGAGCTTCTAGGAGCGTCGAAGGAAACCTTTTTAAGGAGACTCCAGGGAGTTTCCAATGAACGCCTAAGGAGCTTTTGTGGAGCTACTAAGGAACTTCTCGAGGAGCTTCCGAGGAGCCTCGGAAGAGCCAGTGGGGGTCCTTGGAGGAGCCGCTATGGACTTTTCAGTGAGCTTATAAGGAGCCTCTTAGGAGCGCCCAGGGAGTCCTGTAAGGAACGTCCCGGGAAGCCTCTAAAGAACCTCGGAGGAAGCCTCGAAGGAGTCTGTAAGGCGCTTCTGAGCAAACCTTTCAAATGGCTTTTGAAGATACCTCTAAGGAGCCTCCAGTGAAACCTCTAAGGAGCCTCCAACGAACTTCTAAAGAGCCTCTTACGGAAACCTGTAGAAGGAGCTTCTATTGAAACTTTTAAGGAACTCCTGAGGAGACTCTAAGGAACCTGTATGTAAGCAGCCTCTAAGGAAAGCGGATGAAAACCTCGTAAGGAGCCTCCAGAGAAACCTTCTGAGGAACTTTTAAGGAGCCTCTATGGAGCCATTGGCCTCTAAGGAGCCTCCATAAGGAACCTCGAAGAAATTCAAACAAACACCATTTAAACATTTAAGAAGTGGTTATGATTGGTCACTGTTGGGTGGGATTGGGACCGAAATGGTTGGAATCCGTCGCAGTTGGTTGTAAGTCGTCTCGTTTTCTGGTTGGGCCCCCCCTGGGAGGGAGGGGGAGAGGGGGTGTGGGGAGGGGGGGTTCGGGGGGAGGGGAGTCCCCCTGGTTCTGATCGACGGCGCCGAATGTTGGGGGCCAGTTCGAAACATTCCGCCGAATTTCCCAAGGCAAGCGCCCGTGAAACGCGCTTTCGCAAAGCTGAAGAACAGTCGAACCATAGTAAGGGGGCGATTCCTCGATCATTTCTTATCATTTATACAAATTGCATGCGGATTCTTCATTTCTCTTCCAAAACCTGCCTGCAGGAGGACGTGCCTGACCTCACTCTAGGAAAGGGGGCGCCGGAACGCCAGGAGCAGAGCACGTGTCGTTCCTTTTGTCGCTCCCCCTGCGCAGCGCGTGTGGGGTGACCTCCGGCGGCGGCTGCTGCTGCGGCGGCATCGTCTGCGGCGACGGCGATGGCCACGACGGCGACGGCGGCGCGCACGGTGGCGACGGCGGCGCGCTCGGCGGCGACGACGACGGCGATGTCGCCCACCGCGCCGTCGACGACGACGAGCACGACCGCCACGACGGCACCGACGGGCGGCGGCGACCACCGACGGTTCCTCGAGGCAATGGAGGGCGCCGGGCCGCCCGTGGTAGGCCGACGGGGGCCTGGACCACCCCGTGACGCCGTGCGAGAGCGTCCACAGCGCCGTCCTCGCCCAGGACGCGCCCTCGCGCGGGGGAGTGTCGGCCGCACGCCTCGCGCGCGCCCTCCTCGATCGGGGCGGCTCGCTGGCCGATGCCGACCCGCGTCCGATCCGAGCCGATGCCGCTGTGCGGTGCAGCTCGGGCCTGCCGGAGGCCCCCCCTTGCCCACGGGGCTGAGCGGCCTGTGTTGCGGGGCCGAGGCCCCCCCCCCGTCGGGCCTCCGCCGCGCGGGCGGCGTGCTGGCCGCCCGGGCTCTCCGGCCAGGCTCGCGCCCTCTTCCGCCGGCTCGTCGGCGTCGCAATCGTGGTCGTCATGGAAGAAATCGGCGGCGGCGTCGCCCCGAGGCCTCCGTCATTCCAGCGCGCCCTCCTGCCCCGTGCGTCGACGCCGCCGCCGCCGCCGCCGCCGCGGATCGGGGCGACTAGCTGGCGATCCCAGGCAGGGTCGCCCCACGCGGCCTTGGCGACGGGCGGCCGTGCGCGGCCTCGACGTTCAGTCGGAGTGTGCCGGCGATCCCCCGAGAAAGGAGCCCAGACCCAAGCGAACCATGAACAAATCACGACGGGCGGTTTCTCGCTATCCTCGGCCCCCGGGGGGCATGGGTCGAGACCTCTGTGGGTCGACGACGTGAATAAGTCATGGCCTCGGGGGTCCGGGTACGTGAATAGCTGTCGCCTGTTTATGGCGCGCTATTCACGTAGCCGAGAGCGAGCTACATGTCTCACCCGCCGCTCGGTGCGGGGCACCGCACCGCTGTGGCATGCCGCTCCTCCCCTTGACTGGGGCCAGCCTTCTTGGCTGAACGGGGCGCGAGTCGAGTCGAGTCGTGTTTGTGTCAGGAGGGGAAAAAACACACAGACACAATTAATCGGCGATTCCCAGAAAATATGGGAAAATATGGGAAGTGGGGGGAAGACAAAAACCCAGAAAATATGGGAAACTATGGGGATATGTTTACTTGTGTGTATTTATCTGTGTGTCCCAGTTCCCCTTCATCATGGCGCGCCAGAGAGGTCCGCGTGTGGCACCCGTCGAGGGAACTGCTGGGGCCAGGGGCAGGGCCCAGACCTCGGGCCGTGACGGAGAGCACGACGGACGGCTCGTTGGCAGCCGTCCTGTGGTGTTGGGTCTTCTCTTCGAGTTCGCAGCGCCCCGCGTCTCCTCGAGTTCCCATCTGAAGGGAGGGACGAGGGCGGGAGAAAGAGGAGGCGGAGGAGGCGGAGGAGGAGGAGGAGGATGTGGAGGAGGAGGAGGAGGAGGAGGTGGAGGAGGAGGAGGCGGAGGAGGAGGAGGAGGAGGAGGAGGAGGAGGAGGAGGCGGAGGAGGAGGAGGAGGAGGAGGAGGAGGAGGAGGAGAGGGAGGAGAGGGAGGAGAAGGAGGAGGGAGGCACGGGAGGCCCAGGGGTGGAGGGAGGGAGGGAGGGCGCGGGGGAGGAGCGGAGGTGGAAGGCGCATTGCGCGCTGAGATGTAGATAGTCGTCGTCGTCGTCCTGACGTTGCTGAGGTCCAGCACACTTGGGCCGGGGGGGGACATCAACCTGTCATGATGTCGGGCCTGTCCCTCTAGGGGGAATCTTCCAAAATAGTTAAAAAAATAGTCGGGGGACCATTTGTTGAGCTTTTGCTACCACTGTGGAGCATGTTTGGAGTGATTTGTTTGTTATTTTCCCTCGGACATCCCCCTGGAGGGGGGCACGTCCGACTTGGACCTGGGCTGGGCACCACGTCGCCGTGGAGTACTCTGTGGAGTATTGTTGGAGTTTTTTTGGGGGGGGGTATTTTTCGTCGGACATCCCCCCGTAGGGGGGCACGCCCGACTCAGACCTGGACTGGGCACCGCGCCGCCGAGGCCCCCTTCACCGCGAGGCCGCGGGCTCCCTGGGCAGGCCGGGCCCCCCTCGCGGGCCCCCCGCTGGTGTCTGCCCGCGGGCCCCGCGGGGAACGAGCGCAAACCGAAGCCTTTTGCCGGGAGGGAAGAGACTCGGGGGCGGAAAAGAGAGGGGGTGACGACTAGGGGGGGGTGGACATCATGGCGTGGGCCATGATATCTCCCCAGATTTCATGGCGCCTCTTCTTGTTCCATTACGTCCCTGGCCCCCCCGCTGGGCCGCGCACATGCCGTCGGTCATGATTTGATCCCCCCTTGGGCACCCCCCTCTTGGCCGCTCCCAAGGCACAAAGGGATCGCCGATTCCACAGGAGATGTCGGAAAGGATGGGGGGATCCTGGGATTGGTGTGCATCTATATCGTGTGTCCCGCGGGTCCCCCCGGGAACGAACGCACACCGAAGCTTCTGCCGGGAGGGAAGAGACGCACAGACGCAATCTGCACGAACGCAATCCTCCTCCTGTTCCTCCTCCTCCTCCTCCTCCTCCTCCTCCTCCTCCTCCTCCTCCCTCCTCCTCCCTCCTCTCCTCCTCCCTCCTCCTCCCTCCTCCTCCTCCTCCTCATCCTCATCCCTCATCCTCATCCTCCCTCCTCCCTCCTCCCTCCTCCCTCCTCCTCCTCCTCCTCCTCCTCCTCCTCCTCCTCCTCCTCGGCGGTCACCAGGCCCTGGGGCCTCTCGGATGGCTCCCGCTGCCGTTCGGGACGACCGACATGGGCACGAGAAGAATGGGTACAATGCCCAGCAGCGGATCCTGTTCATTTTGAGCAGGACTCGCTGTCCACGCCGCCGCGGCCTGTATCCATTCGAGACAAATGCCGCGTGCCCAACAGCGGCCGCTGTTGGTTTGGGACAACATTTGTTGTTGGGCATTGTACCCATTCTTTCCGTGCCCATTTCGGGCGTCCAAAGAAGAGACGCACAGACGCAAGGGATCGCCGATTCCACAGAAGGTGTCGGAAAGGGTGGGGGGATCCTGGGGTCTGTGTGTCTATATCGTGTGTCCCTGGGCCCCCCTCGTCTTGGCGCTCCGCGAGGATTTCTTGGAGCTGCCCTGGGCCCCATTCCCTGGCGCGCGGGCGCCGCCACGGGGGGCCCCAGCGCAGATCCAAGACATCCGCTCGGAGCGCCAACAGTTTCTGTTCTTGGCGTTTGTTCTTCCTCGAGTATCGGCGATGAGTTGGCGATTGGAGGTCGATGCATTCCCTCACGGGGCGGGCCGTCTCAGAAGGCTCGGGAGTCCGCCGGCCTCTCGAGAAGCTTCCCGAGCCTTCCCCGAAGACGCAGACAACCCCGCAGAGGGCGCGAGGGCTTCTGCGAAGTCCCGCCGCCTTTGGAGAATCGGGTTGGCCCACATGGGGGTCCAGCGACAGGGGGTGGCGCAATAGATCTGGTGAACCAGATTTCTGGGGCAGCAACACATGTGGGGCGTGCAGTACATTCCGGGGCGCAGGTGCATTGCTGAATTTCCGCGCGCAATGCACCTCTTGCAATACAGTGCAACACGATTCTCCCGCGCCACACGTTTGCAATACAGTTGCCCCAAGTCTATTGCACCATCGGAGGTTGATAGGCCTCCCACCCTGACACATTCAGGAATTGGCCGCTCTCGGTGCGCGAGAGGGCGTCGCGGCCGTCAGTTTTGCGGGCCCAGGTCCGCCGGTTTCGGTCCCAGGCCGTTCTCACTGAGGGGAGGTTCACCAAAGGGAGGTTTGTCCACCGCCGAAGAGGCAGGGCGCATGTCGCGCATCGCGCGGAAGGGTTCGGCAGCGCGGACCCCGAGCAGTGTGTCTCTACGGTAACCAAGCAGTGGCGAAGCGTCCTGGACACCGCCGGCACTAGGATTGTGGAGGACGATCTTCAGCAGGGAACAAGAACACAGGCACAACTCATCGTCGATCCCCTAGAAAATGTAGGAAGACATGGGAAGTGGTGGGGGGGAGACAAAAGCCAGAAAATGCAGGACCCCTGCCGGGTCACCCGAAGAGAAGGTCTTCTCGTTCTCGCTCCCTCCCCGACGGGCGCGCCGCCGAGCCTCCGTCCACACCGGTCCCCATCGGGCAGGGCAAGGCGGGGCCGCGCGGCGGGCAGGTTGCCCACAGCGCCGAGAAGGGGGCCGCCTCTTCCCCCCCCCCTCGAGGAGGAGGAGGAGGAGGAGGAGGAGGAGGAAGAGGAGGAGGAGGAGGAGGAGGAGGAGGAGGACGAGGACGAGGACGAGGACGAGGACGAAGAGGAGTAGGCGGAGGAGGAAGGGGAGGAGGAGGAGGAGGAGGAGGAGGAGGAGGAGGAGGAGGAGGAGGAGGAGGAAGAGGAGGAGGAGGAGGAGGAGGGGGAGAAGGAAGAGGAGGAGGAGGAGGAGGAGGAGGAGGAAGAAGAGGAGGATTGCAGTATGGTGCTGATGCCCTTGAGGGTAGGCATGACCCTTGCGAATCGGATGGGGCACTTGGGCTCTCCCACCCGTGGAGTAGGTGCTCGATGTTGGCGCCTGGCAATGGTGGGTGATGCGTGTAGCGCAGATCCTGTGGCAGCTACCTCTGCCCGTGACCGACGGGGTCAACTCGTGTGGTTCAGCCTTCCCATCATGATGGGATGGCGAATGATGGACCCAAGTATGATTTGTGACAGCAGCGTGTGTACATATGAGCCACATGTTGTGTCAACATTGGTGCCGACATAGTGCACGAAACCGACTTCAAACAACAATGTTCGTTCATATGGGGGGCACGGATTGTCCGCCCCACATGGGGTGCAAACATAGCTCGGACTTCAAGTGGCCGGAAAACGTTTCCCGTGTTTCGGTCCTCATGGGATGCCGGCGGAGCTTGTGCGGAATATGTCCGAGGCGTGGGTGTCCGCCTCCAGAGGGTGACACCGGCGGTTCGGTTGAGCAGCCCTGTGGCAACCTATGTATGTTAGAGTTTCAGGTCGCTCGGCCCTCGGCCGGCGACCATCTAGATTGCCACAGAGAGTTAGCTTTTGGGTTAGTTCGGTTATACAGAGACCCCAGCAAAACCAGCCAATCGATAGCGGATGGGCCACGCCAGTTTAAAGCGTAGGCCGGTTGCCACGACGAGCATGAGAGGACAGTTTTTCAGGGCATACGGTCGCACACGATGGTGTCCAATTCAGTCCTGTATCATGTTACGGACTCGGTGCTGCCCAGGAGGCGGTGGCAACGCCACCTCCTGGATCACCTCAGGCATTCAACTTTTCGGGTCCAGTTCAAACCCAGAATGGGGGCTGCTTGAAGCGGAGGTGGTGGCCACGCCACCCTCGCCTGTGGACACATATTGTCCGTAACCTTTGGCTCTAGGCCCGTTCGCACTGAGCGCGAAAATGGTCCGCTCCCGAACCCAAGCTGGCGAGAGTGAACACAATATTGAGAGTACGATTCCGATTTCCCGTGCCACCACATTTGAGGGAGCCATCGTGAATCCAAGTTCTAGAGGCCCTCAAGCTGCTCAGGAGGCTCGCTAAAGGGCAAGACACCTCGGACGACACATTTACGGAGGAGAACCCAGCAGCAGCTGAAGCGGAGGCGGTGAAGTAGGACGGCTGGCACTACTACGCAAAGGGGGGGGGGGCCATCCGCATGGCCGATGGAAAACCAACGTTCAGACCGGGAGCTGTCGTGCCTCCAGTCCTGAGTTGCCCCCCCCCATCCCGAACAGGACCCTCTAGGCGACTGGCACGCCTGGCGGGCCGCTCATACCTGACCGCGCGCCGGCGTCGGAGGCTTCCCTGAGGGTGCGGACATTGGCGAATGACACCCGAAGCGACGGAATCGAAAAGAGATTGGGCCGCAGGACAGGCCGCATCTGAGTGGGTGGCTTGCGCTGCGCGGGGCCGCAGCCACGGCGAAGGTTGAGCAGGGCAGACCAAGCACGATCTAACAAAACGCCCGCGACGATGGTGACGAGGTTTGTCTCGGCACCCCGCGCAGCAACGGAGCGGTGAGGTCGCTGAAGCAGCCAAAAAAGTCAAAACTAGGCCCACAGCAATGGTTAACTGCCGATCGATGCGCCTAGTCATGTGGCTGCGCAAAAGGTGGACATGGGGTGGGGAGGTGAGCTACGGTTGAAGCTGTGCCGACATCGGCATACATTAATTCCATTGGGCTGGGCCTCTCTTGAAATTCGTGTGTTGACGGCGACTGAATCGCTGACAAAAGTGCTTGGCGCCATGCGATGTAAATCCCAAGTTCCAAGTTCGTTTACGGCTCCAGAGGTTCCCCGACTCCCAATAAGCACCGCGCGCGCTGCAGAAAAGTATTATCTCCAGAGGGTAGCTGGAAATATGCAAGACGCGTCCCCGAGGGTTCTGCACTAGCTAAGTGAAGGCCTTGTTGTGGTCTCTGCGTTCGCTGCTGGTCGGCGCCGGCTTCTTGGCCCCCTGGCGAAGGTCAGACAGACGCGGCGCGCCCACCTGTTGTGCCTCCCATGCCCACTTGTGCTCTCGGATCGGGCTGCGCGGACGGCGATCTGGCGAAAGCGAGGGGGCAGGGCGGGGGAGAGGGGGAGAGGGCGGAGGCCGGGCTGGCAGCGCTCGCCGCGCCGCGCCGATGCCGGTAATAAAGCCCTCCTCCCTGAGCAATTTGTCGAGCGCAATTTTGGGGAAGAGGAGAAGGGCTGGCACGGCGTGCAAGAGGTGCCTCCGAAGGGTCGCTGACTTGTCTGTCCAGCTGCAATTCTCTGCCTCGGGCGGCTGAGGCAACGACGGAGCGACCTGCCCCGCGCATCTGTCCGCCCGCTTGTTGCCGACGGCCCTGCGCCAGTCAGTCGAGAGTTGGGGGGCGACGCTGGGTCCACATGCGCTGGGGCACTCGCTATTCGGAAGCCTGCGTCCCAGGTGGGGGGGCCGCGGATCAGAACACTCAGGCTGGCGTAGAAATGTTGTCGCGCTGCCGCGCTGTGCCAGAGCGCTTCGCGCATCCTAACTAAGTTTAAAAAGGTCAGAGCGCGTAGAGAAGCCCGGGGGCAATGCCTCGTCGCGGCCAGAAATGCAATGCGCTCGGCTGCTGGCGACGTTTGGGGAGAAGCCGGCCCCGCGGCGCCCCGGGGCCCTGGGGCGCAGCGAAGAGTTCCCCAGAAGGCGTCAATTTGATCACTGACCACCCTGCCGCGCGATACGCGCGCGGACCGCTTTGGAAGCGTGGGCCGTCGGTGAAGACGTCGTCCGGAAAATGCTTGCGCTGCTGAGAGTGCGGGGTCTGCGCGCCAAAACTGGAACGGGGTCGCCCCTGCCCCCCGCGGCGGAATGGCCGCTGCGCCAGGCAGTTCCATCAATCCGCGCGCGAGAGAGAGAAATTGCGGCAGCTGTCCGAAAGTAGGGCCCGATCTGTCTCAGCGGGCATCTGCCTCAGAGGGGCGGCGCAAGGGCAGCGACGCAATCAGCGGGGGATGCAATCGAACGGACCTCCGCATATGCACGTCGCCGCTCTCTTCAGCCAGTCACAGGTCCACGAAGACTGGCGCGCAGACGACAGTATAATGCTTCGCTCGTGGCGCAACAAGCTGCGCTCCCGCGCCAGGCGCCTGGCGGCGCTGACATCTAGCAGAGCGCCGGCAGGGGGCCCCATCTTGGTGGCGATGTTGACGAGCTGACATTTGCGCCGCTCGTCTCGAAACTTAATGGTCTCGATGAACATAAGGGGGAAAGGCCGCGGGTGGCCGCTGTCCGCCTGAGGAGTCGACCAAAATGAAGGGTGCGGCAGAGGACCAGCCTGTGCGGCAGCGATAATTTAGCCGCCGCAAGAGGGCCCTCGCGCGTCACTCCACGCCGCCGGGAGGCCGAGAAGGACGGGCCGAGCGAGCGACAGGGCGGGAAGCGGGTGACCTTGAGGAGGGCTGGAGCGAGTCCCCGCTTCCATGTTGGGTCTTCGTGGATAGCCAGCGCGAACGGCCTCGAGCGTGACTCTCCTTTGGCGCCGACGAGCTGTTCGGACTTCGCCGGGCTCGTTCGGGTCGAGGCCTGCGACCCCGGCGCCGCACAGACCACGCTGATCCAGCCCAAGCAGCGGCGACAAGTTTACGCACATCCGTGCCCGCAACCTTGAAGGCGGAAAGTCGGCGCCTCCTGGCTCTGAGTTTGCTTGTCAGTTCCCTAAGCGCGGGCCTGCTGCTCCAGCTCTGCGCAAATTACCGATGTCGGAATCTATTCCTCATTGCGGCTGGAGGAAGCCACGACGCCGCCGTGCCCACCGAGCGTCTTTGGAGATCGTAAGCTTGCAGAGTTGGAGATCGCAAGCGCTTTGGTCATGGCAGCATTGCATATAGGTGATCACCATTTAGAGGTCAGTCGCCCCTGGGACTAAAGATTTGACCACCTCGTCTGGATCAGCGCGGGCAAATCCGGATATGAAGTCATCGATGGAAAGAAAGCGACAGAGGTGGCGCCTCATTCCTGCTGGGCCAGCGCTGGATGGGGCTCCGGCGCGCAGCCTTGCACCTCAAAGATGGCATGGCCGCGTCCTGCCGCTATCCCCTTGGGCGGGTGGCCTACCTCCACGGCCAGCTGCCGAAATGGCCCGAATCTTTTGCCCCGGGTATTGGTTCAGGGCCGGGCAGAGGGGCCCGATCGCGAAGTTGCAGCGCTGGCCCCCCCCCAAACACTGGGCAGACGATGGTTTCATAACAATCGCCCATGTCCCACATCACTGCGCCTAAACGCGCGGCCCCCCCCATGCCTGCAGGGTTGCTTGGGGGGGAACCGACTCCTCTATGCTACTACCTTACTGGTGCCCCATGACAGGCCGACGATGCTTTGATTCCCATTCTCGCGTCAGGGGCAGGCAGCACTTGGCCCAGACGCGATAGAGGGCCGACAGCAGCCCGATGCCCCAGGAAGAGGGGGCGCCCGGCACCTTGGCCTTGGATTTCTGAAGCAGGGTAGAGACAATCGCCAAGATAGCTGAGGAGAGCTGGCAGTGTTCCTCCACCGCTGCCAGAAACAGCGCAACGACTTTGAGGCATTCATCGGGCAATCTAGAAAAATGCCTCGGGTGCAACCCATCAGAAGTCTGCGCAGCTGACGCGGGGAATGAAGTCGACGCAACGCGAATTTCTCGGGCAGTGGGGAAGGGCAGAGGCTCCCCCTCCGGCATGAAAGATTGGAGTTTGGTGGCCGAGGTGTGCCACGCCTTGGCCAAACGCTCGGCTTCGACCTCCAAAGAGGCTGAGGGGCGTCCAGTCCACTGCTCTCTGAGCTTAACACGCGTGGGCTGCCAGGCTGGGGCATCCTTAGTCCACCTGTGAGCCCACCCCGCAGACTTGTCATTCGCTTGCCTCACCCACCGCCCTCCACGTTTGCATGCGATTGGATGTATCGGAATGGGACTCCTTTTTTTCAGGTTCCGTTTCCAAAACAGTGGGCGCTTGTCCAAGCAACTTGAGCGCCTCCTCGGCGGGCACCCTTGGCACGCTGCCGTCGGGCGCGATATGACGGCATGCTTCTATTGCCTGGTCCATCGCGGCCGAAACTGCCTGAGGGAGGGGATCGACTTTGCCTGGCGGTGAGCTGAGGGCGAGGATCGCCTGGTTTAGAGGCTCTCGGGTGATGAGCGCTCGCTGCGCGCTTGCTAGCGCCGGGCGTGCCCAGTTGACTGGCTCAGCCCTGGAGCTCCAAGACTCGCACGGGTTCTTGAGGGGGAGGAGGAGGATGAGGAGGAGGAGGAACAGGAGGAGTAGGAGGAGTAGGAGGAGCAGGAAGAGGGAGAGGAGGAGAAGGAAGAGGAGGTGGAATATGAGGAGTCCTCCTCATGGGCATCGATCGGGGGCGGGGGGTAGGCATAAGGGGGGAACACATCGACCCCCAATCGCCTCTTGATCGCCGATGGGGCCTCGAGAGCCCCGATCTGCCCAGGAACGTGCCGATTCCAGATCGATGTGCCCAACCCCCCTCAAAAGCAGCCCTGACGGGGACGGCCGCGCTATGGGGGAACCTCCCGTCGGCGTCGGCGTCGTCGTCGCCACAACCGCAGCCTCGGCCGCCGCCATCGCCGGGGGCGCTGGCGGAGGACCCAAAGGCGGCGCCCACGGAGGAGCCCTTTTGGGTCACCAGCGGCCTGAGGCGGCACTTGCGGGCGTCCGCCCAGCAGATGGAGAACATGCGCCCCCCGCGGGCAAGGGCGACGGCCACGGCGGCTACAGTGGAAACCCGTGCCAAGAAACACAATTTTTGCTTCCATGGTGCCCTGGGTTTCTTCTTGGGTTTCGATGGTTCTGCTATATGGAAAGCGTTGCGTTCCCGCACCAAGAGTCAGTGGACGCCCTGGGGTCTCAGGGTTGGGTTTCCTGTGGACGGTCTCTCGTGGTCGAGCTCCTCCTATCGTACGGCGAAGACTCGGGGCGCCCCAACGTGTGGTGACCACTCCGTGTGGTGAGCGGCTGGGTTTAAGTCAGGCCTGTCCCTCTACAGTGGGAATGTTCAAAAATAGTCAAGCATTCATGGGGGCGATTATATATATATATATAAAAAAAAAATGGGGGCATGTTTGACCATTTTAAATTTCTCGTCCCGAATCCCCCTGTAGGAGGACAGGCCCGACTTAAGCTTTCCTGCCTCGGGATGCTCTGCAGCAGCTGCGCCTCGCCGAGCGTTCCGGGCCTGTCGGTCGCCGGATGCCCGAGTTTTATGATCCTCGGGGGCGGAAAGGAGGGGGGTGATGACTAGGGGGGGTGGATATCATGGCGTGGGCCATGATATTTCCCCAGATTTCATGGCGCCTCTTCTTATTTCATTACGTCCCTGGCCCCCCCGCTGGGCCGCGCACATGCCGCCGGTCATGATTTGCACCCCCCCCTCTTGGACAGCCCCCTCTTGGCCGCTCCCGAGATCCGAAAAATCCACCAGGTGCCGCAGGGGTCGGGGATCTACAGTCGGCCAAGATCAGTAGGTTCAAGCAGTGGCGAAGCGTCCGGGCTTGCCTACAGCCCTACGAAGCAATGTTCTAAGAACCTCTGGTGGTTCCCACGAAATGTTCTTGGAACATTTCTGGTTGTGGCTGTCTTGTTTTAACACGTCAGGTTCAGGTTCTAAGCAGCTTGTTTTTATTATTAGAACATTTTGGGGTTCTAAAAACAGTTCGTGATAGGACTATAGGAATGCCGGGACGGTCGGTCCCTGCTCAATAGGTCGACCCTGCTAAATCAAGGGTATCCTTGTGTCCTGTACCTCGCGACCCACGCCTCCTGCACTCCTACGGCCATGTGGACCGCGGAAGGGTCTTGTGTCCTCTCGCGTGTCCTGTCCAATCAAGTCCGACTGTAGACCTCCCAGATAGGGTCAGAGCTGGCGGGGTCGGAGGATCGCGCCGCATCGCCGATGCGGCTCGACGTGGAGCTCGATTCTCTCCACGCCGACGTCGCGAATGCATCGCCGACGTCGCCGATGCATCGGCGATGCATCACCGATGCACGGGCGATGCGTTGGCGATGAGGCGCGATCATCCGACCCCATTTGCCCGTACCCCATCCAGGAGGCATCCACAACCGTTGCGGCGACCGCGCCGTGCGGTGAGCCAGTGGGGATGCGGGGTCGCCGCCTGGTTTTTGGAGTTGGGTCGTTCTACGAGGGCGTCTCGGGCGACTGGGGCCTCGTGGGTCCCAAAACACGTGCCGTGACGGACAGCGCGGTGAGGTTTTTCTGGACGTCGAGGTGACCCCACGGTCTGTCGCTGTTTTTTGATTGCTCGGACAAAAACAACGGCATCAGTATTCTTTTCTTGAGTTCCGGGCGGATTTCTTGGATCGGCGCTGGGCCCTCCTGGCGGCGCCTTCGGCGCCGCCCCCGACGCGTTCCGCGGCCAAGACTCGGGGCCCCCAAACGGTGCGATGACCACGCCATGCGGTGATTCGGATGGGCCTCCAGGGTCCCCAGCCCGTGCGGCGACGGACAGCGCGGTGAGGTCTGTCGGGATGTCGAGGTCACCGCGCGGTTTGTCACTTTTATTGTTTGTCCGAAGATTAGAGAAAACGCTCTTGGGACGCTCCGCGCAGCAGGGACGGGGGCCCGTCGCCGATCCAAGAAAATCGCGCAGACTTCCGACAGTTTCTGTTTGAGCCGTTTTTCAGTTCCTCTGGCTGACCTGCTCAAGAAGCGCCAGTACTTTAGAATCGCAGTGCCGATTGAAGGAAAGAGCAGCTCGGCCGACTTGCAACGGGGGAAACTCTGCGCCGGCTGATCGGAGCAGGGCAACTCTTCATCGGGAGCCCAACGAGTCTCGGGCACAAGGCCTGGACGGCCCCCACACGAGTGTTCGACGGGACCCGAGGCATGGCTTGTGATGTACAGTCGGGGCTCTGAAGAAGGAACCCTTTTGGTTGGGGAGGGGCTCCGCTTTCCTTTAAGTGTTTCACAGCTTGCCTCAGGCTTTCCTTCTGTTCTCGACAGGAAATCGAAGGTTGACTTATGGAAAAAGGGGCCTCGTTCCCTATTTGGGGTTCCTTAGGTCAACGCCCCGACTGTACAGCTGTTGCCCCGGTGGCGACTCTGACCACGACGGCAACGACGACGACGACGACGAGATGGTTCGGCGGTCTGCGGCCCTCGGTCGCCCACGACGGCGGTTGGTCAGCTGGTGGATGATCTTCAGGAGGGAAAGAAACACACAGACACAATTAATCGTCGACTCCCAGGAAAATATGGGAGAATATGGGAAGTGGGGGGAAGACCAAAACCCAGAAAATATTGGAAAGTATAGGGAATATGTTTATTTGTGTGTATTTATTTGTGTGTCCCAGTTCCCCTTCAATGAAGGAAGCCATGGAAGCTTTCTGTAGTCTTGAAACTTCGCAAATCCAAGTAGTAGTGATCAATCGGGGCGCACGGCGTGAGAGCTTCTCGTCACCTTTCCCCCCTTTTCCCCCGCCCGAAAACACGAAAACCCAGGCGGCGGAAGAACGCCCGTTGTCGTCCGTCTAGCCAAAACGGGGAATTCCGCGCAAACGAGGCCGCCACTTTGTCGCCGTCGTCGTGCGTCTAGCCTTACGCAAAGGATTGGGCGTGGCAGTGCGCGCGGGTGGATACTACCAGGGGGTCGCTCCCTGAGAATTACATGAGCCCTACCAGACAGCCTTTGGCATCCGTCGCGCCGCAATGTGCCAGTGGGCGCAGTGGCGGATTGTGGTGCGTTTTGCTTTTAGGAAGTGCTCCTTAGCGACTGCGGCTCACAGTGCCAATCTGCATATCGCAGGTCGGCTAGCGTGGCGCCCTCGGTTCGCTTAGCGATACACTCAATGCCATTGCTTTCTCCGCATCGGGCCAGTCGCTGCAAAACGGCGCTTGCATCGAGCGTATTGTGTGCGCGTGTGCGTGTATGTGTGCGTGTGTGTTTGTGCATGTGCCGTTTGGGTGGCACCTTCCTCCAGCTTTGCGAACCCATCGCTGTCTGTCGCGTGCGATTCATTGGCCGCCAGTTGGCCCGAGTCGCCGTGCGTTTCATTCGATCGGTTGAGACGTCCTGCCTGAGTGGCTCAGTTGATCGTCGTAGTCACTCTTGCTTGCTGGGGGTTGAATGTCTACTCCGTCCCACCCATCCCGTGCGCACGTCATCGCGGTGCGTTTTTATTCATATCACCCCGTGGTGTTTCCACCATCTACGTTTGACCGTGTTCTGCGCCTCCATCCGCCGCCCGCGCTTGAGGACCTTCGGCGCTGCTGGCTCAAATTTCCGCCGGTTCGCTTCGTTTCGTTCTCGCACGCTGTCAAAGATGTCCGACTCGCCGATCCGCCTGCCATTGCGAACCCTCAGGGCGCATAACATGTTGGGCCGATGAGTATTAAGGAGGGCCGAGGAGGTGGAGGGACCGCTGAGGAATGCCTCAATCCGATGTGGTCCAGCCGGTGGCGCCCGAGGCATGCCCCCAGCGGCGCGTGATCGGGAATGGGGCTCCCGTCCGAGCGATGGCCAGAGTTTCAGGCCGTGGCGGAGCGTCCTGGCTCTCCTACAGCCCTACCAAACAAGGTTCTAAGAACCTTTTGTTGCTCCCACGAAATGTTCTTAGATAGAACATTCCTGGCGGAGACTGTCTTGGTTGAAGACGTCGGGATAATGTTCTTCTAAGAACATGGTTTTTGTTCTTAGAACATTTTTGGGTTCTGAAAACATTTCGCGGTAGGACTATAGGAGTGCCGGGACGGTCGGTCCTTGCTCAAGAGTTACATAATGGGACGGTCATTGAATCAGTCTTGGAAGGGTTGTCTGGATTGTCGGGAGCGTTAGGCACGAACATGAGGCGGAGGAGGAGAAGAGGGAGGAAGAGGAGGAGCAGGATGAGGAGGAAAAGGAGGAACAGGAGGAGGAGGAGGAGGACGAAGAGGAGGAGACGGAGGAGGAGGAGAGGGAGGAGGATCATGAGAAGGAGCAGGAGGCGGACAGACAGAAGGAGGAGGAGGAGCCGAGGAGGAGGAGGAGGCGAGGAGGAACCGACGAGTGCCGAGGAGGATGGGAAAGAGGAGAAAGAGGAGGAACCGAAAAGTTCCGAGGAACGCCGAGGAGTTGGGAGGAGTGCCGAGGAGTGGTGCTGAGAGGGATGACTGCGCAGGGTTGCCGATGAGCAGTGGGCAGGGTCAGCGAGTTGGGAGGACTTGGGGGGAAGGTATTCGCATGGCGAGGTGCGTCGCCGTGAAGCGGCTGGGGCGGCCAGCCGGTGCTGCACCCGTGGCAACGGGCGTGGGGGGCGCCACGGCCACACGGGGGTCTGGCCGCTCCCTCCCCCCCGAGCTGGTGGCACCCCGTCCCGGGCTCGCCCCCCGCCCCCCCCCCCCCTAGAACCAGATATTGGCTGCTTTGGGCGGCTGCCCTTGGCGACTGGTCAGGACCCCCCCCGCCTGCTGCCGCCGCGATTGGTAGAAGCAAATCGACTGAGCACTGGCCCACACCCAGACCCCCCCCTTCCCCCACCACTCGGCCACATGCCGAAACCCAGAATTTGCCGGCGCCTCGCCCAAGGGGGGCTCTGGACCACCACCCTCGTCCGCGCACGGCGATGGGGGGCTTGCTTTCTTGATGCGGGCGCTCACCGCGCGGGGGTGGGGGGCAGAAGCGGCCCGTCTGGAGAGGGCCAGTTCTTATTACTCCATTATTCAGGAGCGAAAGAAGGACGCAAACGCACATGAATCCACATTGGCTTCGAGCGTGCGCTGTGCGCGAACGTTCGTATCACGTGGCGGGTGTCGCGGATTGGGGGGCCGTGTGTCAGGTACACGGTCGGGCGCGTACGTCTTCTATGGGCTCCCTAATCACGGAAAACGCGCCAGCGGATGGCCCTGAATACACAAAAGGGGGGGTGCTCACAGAACCCCACCCCTCCCCCCTTCAAAAGGGGGGTGAGATTTTCGACCCCCCCCCTCCGCCTTTGGCGCTGGGGGGGGTCGAACCCCCCCCCCCCTTTGCGCAGAACAGGGGGCTGAGGAGGGGGCCTCTCGGGTAGTGATTAGGGAGTAGAGTGTTTGGAGTAACGATTGGTGAGTAGTGGGTATTTGATAGTGAGTGGTACGCAGTGAGTCGTGAGTGGTGGGTAGTGAGTAGTGGGTAATGAGTAGTGGTAGTAGTGAGTAACGCGTAGAGATTCGTGAGTAGTGCGCAGTGAGTAGTGAGCAGTGAGTAGTGGGAAATAACTAGTGAGTAAAGAATTGTGAGTAGGGGGGAGTGAGTAGTGTGTAGTGAATAGGGCATAGTGTAGCAAGCAGGGAGTAGGGCTGAGGGAGTAGACTGCAGCGAATAGCGAAGAGTGGGTAGAGTAGTGCGCTGGTAGAGAGTAGAGAGTAGTGAGTAGTGAGTGGTGAGCAGAGACTAGCGAGCAGCGGATAGGGAGTAACGAGTAGGGATTAGCGAGTTGGGAGTAGTGAGTTGCGAGTAGGGCGTTGCGAGATGTGAGTAGTGAGGAGGGGGCAGTCAGGAGGCACTAGCGAGTAGGGAGTAGGGAGTAGTGTGTAGCGAGTAGGGAGTAGCGACTAGTGAGTCGTGAGTAATGAGTTGTGAGTTGGGGGTAGGGAGGAGGGAGTAGTGGGTAGTGAGTACTAAGTCGTGAGTTGGGAGTACGGAGTAGGGAGTAGGTAGTATTGAGTAGTGAGTAGTGGGGGCGTAGTGAGTAGCGAGTAGGGCGCAGGGCGTAGCGAGTAGTGAGTAGTGAGTAGTGGATACTGTGTTGGGAATAGCGAATAGCGAGTACTGGGTAGTGAGTAGTGCGTTGTGGACAGCGATTAGTGAGTAGTGGAATGAGAGTAATGGATGGGTAGTGAGTAGTGATTTGTGATTAATGAGTAGTGGGTGGTGAGCTGCGTTCAGTGAGTAGCGAGTAGTGTGTAGTGAGTAGTGAGTAGTTTGTAGTGAGTGGTGAGTAGGGAGTAGGGAGTAGTGAGCAGTGCGTGGTGGGTAGTGAGTCGTGGGTTGTGAGTAGTAAATCGTGAGAGTGAGTAGTGATTTGTGGGTAGTGACTGGTGCGTAATGAGTCGTGAGTACTGTTTGGGGCTACGGCTTGGGTTTGGGACTACGGTTAGCGGTCAGGGTAAGGGTGAGAATTAGTGTTCGTTGTGGTAGATTAGTGTTAGGGGGGGGTCGGGGTCGGGTTCCGGAGACCGGGGGCGCCGTGGCGAAAAGGGGCGATGGGGGGGTTCGAATTTGGCGGCCAAAGGGCGGGAGAGGGGGGTCGGACCCCCCCCCCTTTTGAAAAGGGGGGGGGGCTCCCCGACAACGGATCGGGGAAAGACGAGGGGGGGGGGGCCCCCCCCCTCCCTTTGAGGTCATCCAGCGGTGCGCCCTCCTAATCACGGAATGGAGAGCATTTTTGCTCCCACGTCCCTGGCATCGCTCGGACGTGTGCATCTTTCGGCGGGGCCATCGAGGAGCAGACGAGGCCATTTTGCCAGCAAGAAACCACGCACGGAACCCGAGAGACGCACGGGGAATGGGCGCCCGAACGAGGGCAGGCAGTGCGCGTTGCTCCTCCGCCCCCCGCATCGGCCCCCGATCCTGCTCCCGCGCGGGCGGCGCCCGAGCGCACTCCTGGCCGCCAGCGGGACGCCCGCGGGTGGGGAGGGCCTCGTCGGCAGGGGCGGGCTTGGCTCTGGCTCCTCGTCCTCTCCCTCCCCCCTCTCGCCATGGCGTGCGTCCGCTCCCTCGCCCCTATCCCCCTCCTCTCCTCGTTCTCTCCCCTCCTCTCCCTCCCTCTCTCCTCGCCTCCGCCCTTTCCTCCTTCCACTCCTTCCTCCTCCACCTCCCCCCCTTTCTCCTCGCCGTGGGGGGAGAGGATCCCGAGGGCAGCGGGTCCCGACGTGCTCGCCGTTCTCGGGCTCCCGGGGCCCTCCGCGGGCCCCTGGGCGGAGCGAGGACGGTTCAGGGGGGAGGGGTGCTCCCCGGGGGACGGGCCCGGGGCCCAGGACCCGTTTCCCTCGGGACCCGCAGCTCCCGTGCCGGTTCTCCCCTTCTCTCCTCTTCACTTCTCCTCCTCCTCGCTCCTCCGTCTCCTCCTCCTCCTCCTCCGAACACTGCAGGCAAGGCGGTCTGTCCGCCGCAGCCCGAGCCGCGCCGCCGCGCGCGGCGCGACGCACGGCCCCCTTCCTCGGAGAGCCTCGGGAGGGGGCCTCAAATTGCCTCTGGAACCCAAGGCCACCCGCAACCAGGAGGGAGAGAGACGCCTAAAGTGGCCTCGGAGAGAAGGAATGCGGGAGCCCCGAGAGCCCAAGGGTCCGAAGGCCAACGGGAAGGCGCGGGGACAGAGCGAAGGCGAGGGCCACCAGGGGCACGGGAGAAGGGCCGCCTGGACCAGGAGAGGGGGGGGAGGCCAGGCCAGGTTAAGCGATCACTTGTGGATCGCCCAGGGCCCGTCTCCGTTCCAGCATCCGTCACCCAACCGACGGTCGCGTACCACATGTCGGCGCGTTGCGACTCTTTGGGTGACGGAGGCTGGTGGAGGGGCGTCGCTGAGACACCAGTCTCGGTAGTGTAAGCGGCTCCGTTCCCCCTGGTCGGGGGAAGGCGGAGAGCAAGGGGCAGGGCCCGAGGGGGAGCACCCGACAGTGAGAGGGGGGAGGGGCCTCAAGAGCCACAGGGATCCTCAAGGGAGAAGGACGGGACCCCCAACGGGCACGCTGAACTAGAAGTCTTCTGAGGCCTCCAGAAAGCGGCGGGCCGCCCGGGCCTGTAGTCACTGGTAGGTGTTCATCTCATCCCCCTCGCTCCGCGAGGGGGCCTTCGTGATGATGTAGGGCCCGTACAATTGATGGTTCGGGGCGATCGCGTGGTGGTCGCTGCCGCCGTCGATCATGTGCCCCTGTTACGGGCTGTGAGGATGTCTCCTGGCCATGTGGAGTCGGTGGTCCAGGTCCAGGTCGCGGCTCGAGGAGTCCAGCTTGACGAAGTTGCTCAACGCCTTCGTGATGCTGGCGTGGCTGGTGCTGCGCTGTCTCCAGGAGTGATGCCCCACCACCGACTTCCGTCCCAGTAGCCTCAATGACCCCCGTCGGTCGGTACCCTCTGCCTCCCAAGCGCCCCATGGGCTGGGGAGGTGGACTATGCCGACCTCCCAAGCGCCCCGTGGGCTGGGGAGGTGAGCAGTGCGTGCCGACGGGTGTTGAAGAACATGCAATACTTCCTGTTGGTGCCGCTGGAGGTAATGCTGAAGTCGAAGATGCCAGCCTGGGAGGTGCGGTCTCTGGTGGAGGCCTCTTGGGAGGGTATCCTGCAAACTGTGTATGTGCCATAATAGACGACAGCTCCTTCTGGATCTCCTCCGCCGACAGTTGGCCACCGTACTGTCCAGGTCGCCCTCCTCCTCCTCCTCCTCCTCCTCCTCACCATCATCAGCATGATCATCCTTATCATCATCATCATCATCATCATCATCATCATCATCATCATCATCATCATCATCATCA